GAGACGCACTCTATCTAGCAATAGGACAAGAAGTAATAAACTTTAGTTGCATGAGAGTTCAGGTTAGATATTAGAAACAATTTCTTCTCCAAAAGAGTGATGATGATGCACTGGCACAAGCTGCCCACGGAGGTGATGGAGTCACCTCACACTTGAACACTGCAGGTGTTCAAGAACCATGGAGATGTGGCACTTAGGGATGTGGTCAGTGGGTATGGTGAGGGTGGGTTCATGGTTGGGCTTGGTTGTCTTAGAGATCTTTTTTAGCCGTAATGGTCCTATGATTCTATGATGCACCCCAACACAGTGATGCCATGCCAAAAACACAATACCTTCACAGGACGCCTTGGTTTCTTTTCCTATGTCAGAAGCTGTGAAGTAGTGCATAGAACTGAACTGTTTTGCTCAAGCAGTGCTGTATCTTTCACTGCAGATTGATAGCAGGAGCAATGCCTCCAGTGCAAAGCATGGGGGAGGGAAAATCCAAGTACCTTCTGGGTGGTTTTAGTGGCATTAGGTTACAATGACTTCCAAATGGTATCACTACAGCTTACAAAGAGCACTAAGGAAAATGACCACCTGCACATTACTAGAGAAATGTCCCAGCTGTTAGAATTCCAAGCTAAGTTTTACTAGAGTGAATTTATGACTGCTTATTATTTAACTTAGCCTAGGATCATAATTAAAGATGGTACTCTAAGGCGAATTCCCACTGATGGGAAACAGCATCATTTGAGACTCCAGCAAAGAGTAATCAGACACCTTTGGAGAAGTAATCAGGCATCTGTGAAAGAAAACTCTGATGTCAAGAGCCCCTCACATGGGATGCTTGTTTAAGTGTTGGGAGGCTTGCAGCACGTTTAATGAGACAGAAAGGTTAAAGGTTTTTTTCTTACAGATTTAAAAAACATAAAGAGAAGAACCAACATTTGATGGTCCTAATTAGCAGCAAAATAAAATGGGCAAATATTGTTGCACATGGGGTACACCCTGAAACAAGGAAATGAAACACCTTTTTCTCCTGAGCTTCCCTACCTCCATCTAACTGAAGCAGGTAAGGTTTTGTAAATATCTAATATCTCTCTCCTTCATGGGACAACATAAGAGAGTACAAAAGAATATGCAGGATCAGGTCCTTGAACAGGACAGACTTTTATGTAAGAACTCTGCCCACCAAGGGCGATGTACACCATGAATCTGACAAATAATTAGCAGTAACTGTCTGAAGGCTGCCTATGAAAAGCCATGAACACAATTCATGAAAGATACAATTCTGAGCCACAGAGGATGGAACTGATAAGAAAGGAGAAAATTTTAACAGAGATATTTATTTGCAAAACTTCAAGCACTGCCACTGGCTGTTATTCACAGTATCTGGTGAATATTTTACAAATACACTCATGGTTTAGTATGTCTGTACAGAGAACCTCAAAATTTGCAAGACTTTATATTAAACGACAGTGTAACACTGGTGAGTCCTCTGGTATGATGGTTTATTATCTATCCACCAGCTGTTATTATTATATAGCTGTACTGTGTATTTCTTGAATGGTGTATTTCAGAAATATTACATTTAAAGGCAGTCTGTATGGTTTCTTAAAACAGCTCTAGGGTCAACTTCAGAATTAAGTTCAGTTCATAGGCTCTGATTTAGCAGAGATCTTATGTGCAGGCTTTTAGCTCAGGCATATGAGAACTGCTTTAAATTGCCTTTTGCGAACAGGAGGAAGGAATGAGATAATAGAACCAAAGAAAGCTCTTCCTACTAAAAACTAACACAAAAGGAAAGCTGGAGTTTCCACCGTCAACCGAAAAATTAGTCCTCTACACTGTTCCAAGTTAACTACAATATTTTTGCCATCTTATATTCTGGTTGTTGTAAATAGTGCCATCTCCCTTTAATGCCTCTTTAAAATTAAATAATAAGAGGAAAAGGAGAGTAACTACAAGAGAAAAGATGCAACATTCACATTTAGCTAATAGACTGGACCCAAACTCATTGGAGCCTGTTCTGTGACCTGAGATGGCTTTGATAGCGAGGAAAAAACATTCCCATTTGCTGCCAAAGTGTTCAGGATCCCACATTTATCAATGGACAACTGCAAAGCCTCACTGCTCTGCACTGATCTGAAGCTCACTATTCACCAGGGAATTCTGAAAATTATTCTGAACATTATGCAAATTGTTCTGGGCACATTTTCCTCCAAACTAAGAAAAGCTTACATAACAAACACTATATTGCTTTCTAGATTAGCTCTACTGCCCACAGACTTAATCGTGTGTGACAGAAGAAACAAATTGCAAAAATGCACACCGACAAACAAATCCACACTTCCCCTCCAGAGCTGAAGACCATCACAAACCATACTACCTTGCAGGAAGTAAAAGACACATTTTCATGACCTTGTCCTCTTCTACAACATACAAACTTAAGCCCAGGAGAGTATACAGGAGGTAACGCGACAGCCATTGGTCACATTGCTGAACGCAATGTGGAAAACATTGAGACACAACTGTGAGGTGTGCAGAAGATTCTGCATAAAATAAATTTGTTATGCTAACCCCACGCTCTTATATTTGTATGCTAGACTGTCTGGCTGAGCAGCACTCTGTATTCAGCTTCTCAGTACTTTTGCATGAATGACATTGTATAAAGAGGTACTGTATTTACTAGCTGAATAAACAATAGGTTTTGCTTTCACTCAAGTATTATGACTTCAACTCATTTTATTTATATGTCAGTAGTTCAGAATGTGCAGTGGTCCACGCACATCATCACTGTTCACCTTTGTCAGAGAAGGGGCCAGAAACATCCACGTTGTTATATCTCTAGAACAGCTATAACTCATCCCTGTAACCTTTGGAGAATACGCAACAATTCATTTTGTGTTAGTAACACTGTAGAATCTATTTATTTTTAAATTCATGAAAAAAAATACACCTATTTTCAGTGTCCCTTGGTGTGCACACAGCCCAAAAAGTGACAAGTTGACAGAGCCAGTACAAAAAGACTGGCTGCCCAGTCATTAGCTTCCTATAGCAAAAGCTCAAGGGAAAAAGAAATCACTGACTTTAGCATCATCCCTGCCATTAGATGGCACACTGAATGCTGTCAGATCAGAGGAAGGGGGATAGTAACTCCCTACCTGAGTCTCTAAGAAGCATGATGTAAGCTCAAGTAGAAAGATTACAGGACCTGGAATTGCTGGGAGAGGACCCAAGGAGCACTTTCTCAGGACACCAGTCCCCAGGCATGTAAGATGTTAAGCACCCAGGCACCGAACTATCCAAGGATGGACCCATCTTTATGCAGCTCCCTTGATCCAATGAGCTGGCTTGCATCATGTTAACTAAGCCAGATGCTGAATCTGAGTTGTAAGAGTCCATAAGGAGCAAAATCAGTGAGAATCATTCCAGTTACTTCAAGTGCCCCTTCAAAATCAATCCTTCCAAGTTCAAGGTGACCCCATTAACTACAGACCTAAGCATTCATAACGCCCATAATCATGGGTTTCAGTCATTTACCAGGTGGGGTAAAAACCACCTAAAACATTTTTATAATCTTAAAAACCTTGCAGTGAGGAAACGAATATTTGGGCATACAGCCAAAACAATAAAATCTTGAATATGATACCATGCATATCAGCAGTACCTTGGCTGCACTCAAAATAATAACTAGATAGTTTTGTCGCTTTTAACATAACGTAACCTATTAACTTTCATCACTGTTCTGGGTAAGTAATATTACACAGGATATAACTGAAGAAATAAATATTGACACATGTTGCTGTTAAAACACTGATTGAAAACTGCAGACCAGAGCATCAGAGCGTAGCAGGGTCTCTTCAATTCCAAGATCTCCTTCTCACTTCTGATGTAAATTCTCCATCCCAAGGCTGCCTTTAATGTAAATGGGGTTTGTGTACGTGTATATTATATATATAAAAATAAGCACGCTCACGGAATAATGAGCCCTGAGAAATACACTCTTTCAGCACTCTTGTGGGAAGGTGAGGCTGCTGAACGCAGCTGTTTTCATGATTCACATCTGAAAACTACGCTCTATGGGCCTGGCCAGGTGAAAACGACAGGTACGCAAGGGCAGCTTGTAAATCTGCTTAGCTATTTCCTTCTGGCAATCTGCCCCCTGTCCTTTAACTTTAGTTGGGACTGGTTAAGCACCGTGCACTTCTGAAGACTGAAGACTGGGAACTACATGTCATTTCTCCTACCTATAAATAACAGCAGTCAATAAAATAAAGGCAAATAAAGGCAGTAAATGATGTTTATTTCTAATCTTATTTTATCCCGCACACATTTCTCTCAGAATTTTTTGTGTTCCTCTAGCCAAGGCTGTCTGTGCCAACGCAACAACTGCAGCCTCCCTCCTGCCCCCTCCAGCCTGCTCATTAGCCAGTGTCTGACAGAAGCAAGCACCAGCTGCTCTACAAAAAGGCACATGAAACACTTCAGCAAGATATTATGAAATCATCTGTCTATAAGGAAGAGATTTTTTTCTTCCCCTAGTCACCATTACCTAAAGGTTGATATAAACTTTTGATTAAAAGGACAGTGTTTCTTCAGAACTTTTTTCTTGTAAGAAGTGAAAATCATAACCACATCTGGATACCCCATTTTCGACTCAAACAGCCAAAGAGTCAGTGCTAATGGGGCTAACCTTGTACCTGTGAGTCTTTTCCTTAGCATTTCCTGTTGTCAGGCGTCTGTAAGGCCCCACAGTTGGCAGAACAGGGACACTGGCTGTTTGGGGCTTGCATATTTGGGGCTTCATTTACATGGTATCTCACGGCAATGAGCTTCACAGGTAACTGCAGGCAGGCTTAGGGTTAGTTCATTTGCTGACATACACCAGCAGAAAACACTGCATATGCTACATTATTTCTTTGGCAGCTCACATCTATCTTCAACACAATTTAATGACAAAGTTGAAAAAAAAAATCTCTCATTAGTCGAATGCGAAATTTATAAGTGTAATCTACCTTTGGAAGCTTCTGTGCCCAGTGGATTTTCCAAGATGTCTATCATATCTTGGCTCCATGCATCCTTCACAGCAGACTTAGACACCTTCCTGTTGTTCAGGCTTTGCTGTGGTCGGAAGTTATTCCTCAGGTACTCCACAGACTTGACGTGGTCTTGTTGCTCAGTGGTGAATATGGAATAGAAAGCTTCCAGCTGACCATCATGGCAGGGGAGAGAAAGGACATTAATTAGAAAACAATGTGCTGAAATCTGGATGGCTGATAAGAGAATAAAATGGCAGGAAGTGTCGATGCCAAGACTGATAAACCCTGCGGGAAGTCAGGCTGCCCACTGAAATTACTGCCAACCTCCTTATCTCAGCACAGGACTTATCCTGCCCAACAGAAGAGGAGACCTTTGAGCAACTCATGGCTGTCTGTCATGGGCAAGGACACATTTCCCCTTAGACCTGTTGTCTGGAAGGAGTGTGAGTGTGTGACAGCCCTGCCAAGCCCTTCTCACTGTTGGCATTGCTTTGTTTTGTATTATCATGCCAAAAACGTTTCCACCCCAAGAGCTCTTTCCAGGAGATGGTGATGTTACCTTATCCCTTATGGGATGAACACCCAAATCCTGAGCTGAGTGACAAGTGGAACAACCTCAGGACTCTCAGCTTTGAGCACCCTGACCTCCCTACCAGTCACTGCTCCCTCTGATACCTGCAACAGGGTGAGAAATTATAACATAACACAAAATGGGCACAGTTAGCATGTATTCCTCTGGGAGTAAGTTTTCTCAGCTGTACTCAGATTTGAGCTATTTTTAATAAAATGTATTAACCTGGAAGGAAGAACTGTAATTGGGAAACTTTTCTGTTACTTAGGATCTCAGCATTTCTTTAGAACAAAATTTCTAGCAAATTAAGATGAAAATATTTTCAGCTAATGCTGTTCTCACAGCTATCAAGGTCAGTATAGCATTTACTAATAGCTTGTTATCATTCAGGTCAAGAACCAGAATTAGTTATGTCTGCTGAAAAGGCTGAGCAAGACAGAGCAGAGAAAGATTCACTGCTGATATTGTTTACATCAACATCAATTACATATATTGATAGTACAGATTTGGAGAGTACAGAATCTGGCCCAAGACTTTAAAAAGGACTTGGATTACGCTCATGGTTTAAAGACAGGTGAGCACAACATCCTTTTCATTAAGTGCTTTTGTTCTTAAAGTATAGAATAAAGCCTAAGAGTCTTGAAACTTCTAACTGGGAAAAATTATCATTGTAGCCTCAGCTGACGGTGCTGATAAAAAATAATAAAAGGAAAGAACAGCTAAGGATACTCCACTGAATCAAGAGGCACTCGCTGTCAATATTTAATTTCCCTTCAAACCAGTAAACAGAAACTTCTTTCTGCTACTCCTGTCCAGCTGGCCAGTTCTGCTGGGCTGGATGATCCTTGTTACTGGGCTGAAATATGTAAAACTTATCACATGGGCAAACTTATCCCACAGGCAAGTGGAGTCAATTTTCACACTTTTCATTTCAAAAGTCAGTCTCCCTGGAGTGAGGATGTGTGCTGGGCTGGCTAATGGAGAAATATATGGGAATGTTATCACAGTGAGCAGCAGGAGGGAGAAGGGACGGACCTCAGTGCGCAGATCCTGAGTTGGCTGCTCTGCACCAACACACAATACAAGGGAAATGAGCCTCATAATGGGCAGGCACTTCCAAGGTAACAGCACATCCTTGTACATTATCAGCAGCAGCTTCCCCGAGGACAACTGCTCTTATTGAACAAGCAGGGAGCCAACGCACAGGGAGAGTGGGCAGCCAGCAGGAAGGCGACAGCTGGCGGCTGGCTCCATCTCAGGCAGGGGACCCAGGTATTGCTTTGAGCCTCCAGTGCATGCACTGATGGTGAGATTTGGATTGTACTTCTGCATCTGAGGTGAATGTCACATTCCCAAGCTCTCTGCTGTAATTTTCTCTGATCCTTAAGGGAAAGATGTCAAAAAAATCTTGAAAACTCCTTGCTAATTACTAGCATGAAGTACTAAAAAGCATTGATAGATGGGTTAAAAAGTGAGGTAAAAGGATTATCTTACACTTTTGTCTTGAGAAGGAAACCTGATGATCTTGCTAAGCCCTGTGCTCCTCTATGACCTTCTAAGGAGGCACTGACCATAATCCAGTAGACATTTACTTGTGTTTTCCACTCCATGCTCGAGAACCAGTTCTGATGAAGGGAACTAATAGGTCTTTAAGTTACTCTGCAGAAGTTCATGAACTGGATAGCAACTGCTCCTTGTCAAGTCAAGGCTTACGCTTCCATGACATTAATTGAATTTTTAAACTTTCAACGAGAACTTTTAAAATATTTTCTTCTGCCACGCTACCTTGGGGAGGTATAATTGCATTTTAACAACTGCCAGTTCAAATATGATTTTTAACCTTCCCCTTTTTATGTGTTGAAGTATATATAAGTCATTTCAACTTCATTTTTACTATAAAAATATTATCTGCCGCAAATGAGACATTAATTGATCTATAGCTGCCAGGGGAAAAAAAAGAGAAAAGATGTACAGTCAAGGAGCTACACTCATGCTCTTCAAGGAGTACAAGAGCTCCTGTTCAGAAGAAGAAATCAAAAGCCGCTATAAGAGTGCTGTAGATACAGAGAAACCTGATCTAAAATTCCAAGTCATGTAATTACAAACCATTAAAGCCTGATGTGCACAGTGTTCTAAGGGCTGGATATAAAAGTGGTAATTAAAAATACTAAAACTGTTATAAGCACAATGAGATACTCTGAGGTATGCATTATGAGAGATAATGCTGTGCTTTGGGTCACTGAATGCACTTAGCTTTACAATGCATCTGCAGGGTGACACGGCTTGTCCTGTTTTGTTGTCTAATTATCGGGAGAGATGATGATGATGGAGCACAGAGAATAAAATAGAGAAGCCTCTACAAATGGACCACTTCAGAACCGTCCTTTTTACAGCAAGGTATTTTGCACAAAAGCAAGGATTTAATTGGAACAGCAACAAAGCTTAAACAATATCACTTTCCTCCTCTGGGATTACAGACTGTTTCATGGGGTTTGTGATAAAGAAGGTTAAACTGTGGCAATGGATTATACTGCACTGTTTCTGTTAGAGTAACAAATAATAATCATGGCAATGGCAGGGTCTTAAAATACACCCATCCCCACAGCTGCCAAGTGGGAGAATGCTATTATTTATTCCACATGTGTTGTAGTATCAGTGAAAGCCTGTCTCCATACAGAACACCCAGCCCTTCAACCACACACACATGCAAAAAGCAGTGCAAGGCCAAATTGTAAAGGCTTGAGTTGGCACCGTTACCATTGTACTTCATAGGAAAGAAACGATGCCAGGATAAAGCACCTTCATACCATCGTAGGGCTTGCCAGCATTTAGCAGTCTATTTGCATTTGTTAAAACTGAAAAAGAAGAAAAAAGTGCACCACCCAGCCCACTTGCAGACAGGGGTGTAAAAAACAGGGTATAAAACTGAGTGTGGGTCAGGCCTCGCAGCCGCCCAATAATAAACAGTAAAGTTACTGATGCAGTGAAAAGCTACATGGGAATGCAAGTATCCTGCAGGCAAGGACAGAATTCAAAATGATCCTGACAATCAGAGAAACAGCCTGAACAAGACAAAGAGTCTGATTCAACTGGGCCCACGTGCAGAAAGTCCCACGCTTTGCCTGCATGACCACACGATGCTCACTCAGCAGCACTGCTAGAGAGAGCTCTGGAGAAGGCATTTGCAAAAGGGTTCCTGTCAGCCATCAAAAGTGGCATGCTGCTGTGAAAAAGGCAAAGCAATGCCGGCACAGGCAGCTCAACACACGAATCTGCACGTCTCATGGTACCCAGCTGAAGCACTGAGACTTGTTTTGAACGTGGCACTTTTAAAAAGTGTGGAAAGGTCCACAGGAGAAGCAGTAGGATCTAGGAAACATGAAGACAAGCCTGGAGCAGGGGCACAGCAACCACCTTCCACCCTTCTGAAATCTCTGAGACCCAACACCTTTCGGTCATGACCACTTGCTGAGCCACTTGCTTAGGTATAATTCACAGAATTAGGGTATTGAAAAGCTTTGTTTTCAGTGGCTTAAGCAAGATGAATGAAAGACTAACTTCAGCAGAATGGCTTTCTAAGGACAACAATCTTAAAACATCAAAAATACACTTAACTGGTAAACACTGGACTATATTTATCCATTACTTTATCGGAAGCATTCTTCTCCAGACCAATTCCAGACATGGGGTCTGTCTGCATTAAAAGCTGCTATGTGCTAATTTTAAGGATTTGTGTACCAGTTCTCTAAGCACATAATGGCAGCTTTACTGTGTTGGAAAAACAGTTAAGCATGGAGAATTAATGGAAACACGTCTTTTCTAATGTAATTAGTTCAAATTACTAAATCTGAGCAGAACTGAAATAATTCACTTTACTTTGAAAAGAAAGTTTCAATTAAAAAGAATAAAAAGGAGCAGCATGTAAATATTTACACCATAGCTTAATTTAATCTTAACAAAAACAACACCAAATAAATCACTGAGAGGAAACCAGGTTTCACTTTATGCTGTCTCCTTAAGACTGATGGCTCATGCTCAGAAACAATATTACTAAAAAAATAATTCACCAACACTCCTCGTTATGTCAGCAGAAATTTTTGTGTTCACAGCATTAAAACATGGGGTTTGGAAAGAGGGTAAATCAAGAACCTGCTTTCAGCTGGTGGGGGGGGGGTTGGACCCCGTGATCTTCAGAGGTCCCTTCCAACCCTTATGATTCTAAGAGATGTCGCCGATGAATTAAACATACCTGATGGTAAGAAATGGGAACGGGCTTCCGGAAAACGATCCACTCCACGATCTCACTGCAGGGAGGAGTGGTCAGGGAACCTGTATAGCGGTAGTAACTCCCCAGCGATGTTGGCAGCAGGTCCCTGAGCACAAAGGGATCCAGGAAGGTCTCTTTCTCTGTAGGGGAGTTCGACAAGCAAAATTACACTTTTTATTTTATTTTATTTAAAACATGTCTTTAAAACAGACATCACATTGATAGGCAGCCTAGGAAAGTGTAAGGGCAACAACACATTTTATCATATATATGTAATGAAAGATAGAAGCAGCCTATCAGGAGCACCCTGTAAGAGTTGATATGTTGATTATTAAAAGAGCAGCCAGAATGCCAGTCAATCCTATACACGCCTATTCAGAATGCATGCAGGTGTGAAAAGCCCTTGCTATCTCTATGCTTTCTGCAAGCACTGAAATAACACTGTATTCAGCGGTTTCAACACTCTGTGAATTTCTCTTCAGCTTGATGGTGGTGCAGGTATGCCACAGCTCTACTGGCACAAAGCTGGGCCCCAGGGCTCCCACTCTTTGCAGTCAAGGCTGGATGCAGTCAGCATAGCACCGTAAGAACATTTCAGAGGTAAAAATGCTCTCCCCTCTAATCCAAGAAACAACTTGTGGAGTCCTGCAGGCTGAAGGATGAGCTCCTTCCAGTAACAGTAGCAAACTGGTGGTATTTAACAACGTGAAGGTAAATAAATAAATGAAAGGAGGGAACAGCTGCAGGCAAGACAATTTCCTTGCCATCCCTTTGCATTTATCCTCCGCGCTTTATGCTGACTCACTCCCTCTCAATCTGTGCAAAGGTGTTCACTGCCTCAGGGCACACTGACACGTGAGGCTCTCCCATACATCTCTATTCCTCACTTTCTATATTCTTACAAACAAAAGCCAGTTCACGTTGCAGCAACTTTCCACCTTGTTGGACCCGCTGGGCAGCTGATCTGATCAAGTGCCTGATTCACTGGGTAGCAATCCTGCCCACAGGGCAGCAAGGTTGGAACTGGATGGTCTCTGAGATCCCTTCCAACCCAAGCCATTCTATGATTCTATGATCATATTCTCCTGCACATTATCAACTAGTTTGCGAAGTTCCAAAATGAGTAACTCTATGAAAGTCAAAGCATACCGCTTTGTAACAGAGCACTGCAATATCTTCATTAACCATTTCTTTCCTTCTAATTCGAGCAGATACCAACAACTTCTGCAGCCTCAGAAAGGAAGCAAGTGAAGAATAAAACATTTTTTCACAGCACACCTTCAGAGAAGTGTGTGCTCAGGTAATAAATAGTAAAATATACATGATTGGCCAAAGTTCAAAGAGAACTAATCAAGAAATCATAATCACAGCAAAAGGTCGCATTTAATTTGATTTCCAATTAAAAACGCATTGGTTTATTTTTATACAGGAAAAACTGGTCTGAAAAATTGCAAACTCAGTCAGAGGATTTGATTTTCAAACTTCAGCACAGATGCAGCTTCACAGCAAAATGAAGTGTTTTGTATTTCAGAAGCTCTCTCTGTGGAAGCTGAGCACAGAGTGGGTGCTATGAATCCAAAAGTATTTGAACATGCAAACATCCTTTTTGTGCTAACAGCCAGTGACTATAAATGAAATAGATGGGAGAGGTACAGGCACATTTTGAAAAGAGAAAAGAGAAGATTGAAAACCCTTGCATTCTTGTTTATTGGAAGATTTATGAAATAACGCTGTGGTTATAATTAACAACTTAGCTATTTTTAACTTGGATAACCTCTTATTTAGAGCGATGGAAATACCCGAGGTGCTGGACAAACACTCTCTGTAAAAGCAAGAATGCAGAGTATCCCTTTATCAAAGGGTGACAGGAGAACGAGGCTCATTTTACACTCTCAAAGATTTTTGTGCCATATGCTGACAATATTATATTTTAATAATTAATTGTTCATCAAAGGAAAAGATGAAGAACAGGGATGCTAAATTCAAAGTTATTCAAATTGCAAAAATGAATAATGCATGACTTTTATATTAAATACACACTGTATTAAGTAGTCTACATTTCATCCAACTCTGTCTTTCATTTTTAAACATTTTGAACTACAATATGAATAATCAACCAAGGGAAGCTTATTTAGACAGAGAAATATCTTATTTGAATGCAAACTGGAAGTATCCGACTATGATTAAATTTTAGTTATCAATTAGGTAGATTTTTTTTCCTAAGCATTTGGAAACTCACAGTCAGCTACGAGGAAGGGTATTTCTTGAGGAAAACGTAGCTTTGCTGAAGCACAGCTTTAAGTAGGACAGGGTGTGCTCTCATTTTTCATGGCTACGAGCAATGCTGTAGGTTATTGTTAATGAATTCCAATGATTAAAATAAAAAAACACCTATAATTGGATTACCGTGACTTTTAAAATAGATGATAATCAATTGTTTATGGTTTAATAACCCAGCACATTTGAAAACAGATCATTAATTACTATCTCCTCCACCTAGATGCATGGTGCAGCTTTAGAACCCGGAGTCACAAGCATCTTCATGCCAAGCTTACAAAACAAGTGACTTAGAGACTCAGGACTCTTTCTTCCATACAATATGAAAACAGGAAATGCCATGAAGTTGTGTTCCTGAGAGCCTGAAACAGTTTTGAAATGAGATTTGAAAATCAAGTCACTTAACATTCCAGCCTCACATTGCTGATGATTGTTGGTAAATCTGTAAAAAGAATCACCTGCGAGCCACACCACAGTATTCACTAACATGGTTATTCACACATACTTACATATGTGTATATGTGCATATATAGCATTCCTACTAGCTGTGAAGTTGGAAAAAATATCCACTTTTGTCAGTGCCTTACATGAGCAGCTCCTGTTTCCTTTTCTCTGCTGGGACAGGCAGAGATTTTGCCCAGACAGCTGGGAGCAGACTGGGCAGGGTGAGAAGTTCATAGAGGGAAGAAGCCAGACGAGGCTGGGAACCACACAACCTTCTATGTGAGGAGAATTAAACAAAACACAACACTACAACAATAAAAACAATCTGGCGTTTGCTGACAGGTACAAAGAAAAGAACTGGCAGACAAAAGCAATAAAACACATCAGTGATAACATCTGTGTTCACCTGCAAATAACCTGCAAACTGTGCGATGAATCCTGCAAAACCCACTTGTGAGCCAACGAAGAACCCCACACTTGCATGGTCTCCACTGCTCCCTGCCCTGCTCCATCCAGAGCACAGAAAAACAAGTAGGAAATGGGAGCCCTGGGGTCTGACTGTAACCACAGAGCCTCAAACTGCAGAGCCACCACCACGTTGGGCAGCCTGGGAAGGAGCAGCACCAGGAGCACTATGGAGCTGCCCCTCTGATCCGTACATCCAATTTCATTGGCAGTTAACAAGGGATGAGTCGACAATGGCAGCACCAAGGCTTGTAAAGAAGTGTTCACTCTAATACTTCCCAAGGAAAAATTAACCAAGTGCCACATACGCATTGTTGACAATGAAGACAATGTGCTATTTAAACTACTGAGCATTCCACAGCATAAAGGGACAATATGGTGCTTTAACTCTCACATTCACAAAGTGCTATTAACAGTTAGCTTGTGCCTTCTGATACAATGTTCCTGTCCTTTTTTTGGTCTTCCTCCTTTAAAAACAATGCATATTCTGCTTCCACATTTGTCTGCAAACCAACAGGAAAGCTTACGTCTGAGTTTTTATTTGACACTAATACAGTAGGAAACATATATTTACGTGACACATACAAACTTTCTTCAGCCAATTTAGCTGTGGAAACAGAAGACAAAAATACAGGACTAAACAACCCCAGATAATGTCTGGATGGCCATGTACCTGTGTCAACATCAGGTGCAGTCTTTCAACACTATTTTTGTTTACTAGACAAGAAACACTCTTCATTTTCTTCAATTCTGTATCATCAGTCAGTAGTGCTCAGTATATTCTTTGAGCTAGTAAATCTCCCTACCTTTTTTGCATGGGACCAAGGGCCATTTTTTGTACAACCAACCCAAAGCCACAGCAACTGCAGGCACGCTTTAAGGAGCTGACCTATTTACACTCCAGATTTGTTAAAGCATGTGAACAAATACTGAGCTGTGCACAATAGTTTTCATAGCAGAGGAAAAATCAGATGTTGAAACCAATACTGGTGGTAGATACCTACCAGCTACTGCAGTTTTCAGAAGCTGATGCCAACAAATACTATATTACAAGAGCTATCAGTTGAATGTTTTGACTTCAAGGACTGACTTGCTAAAAATAAATTCTCTGAAATGCTGGAAGAAGATCGCCCTGAATTTTAACTGAATCACTGTGCAATAGAAATGTTCTTGAGATATTCAGGTAAACAGCATCACAACTATCTGTGATCAAACCTCCTTTCAAATCCAACAGGAACTTGGATTGGAGATCAGAAGAAAATAGCTACATGCCAAGTCCATTTATATCTCATGGAATGCTTTGGACTTTCATCGTGCTTTTCTGTAAGAAAACAGGAACTTGGCTGCATTGGAAACAATATCTTAAAATGAGCTTATTTCCAAGATTAATGTATGTGCAGTGCCTGATAGGTGGAAACGTTACCCAGCTACACTTTGAATAACTGCAAATAATCTGCAATACCAGTTAGAAGAGCTTTGAAAGTCTCCCAAATTTGTCAAACATTGTTACTGCCAATTTCATTTTTACCCTAATGAGCCAAGTCATTCTAAAGCCTCTGCATTCAAACATTTAAAAAACAAACACACAGAAATAATCCAAAGGACAGCACGCCATACACCCACCAAGCCAGAACTTCCAAGGTAAAGCAGGCTGCACACCAGAGACAGGGAATAGACTAGCTGTGGTGATGTTCAAGATAAGATTACAACTATTATACGTTACTTTAACTGGAAAGATCTTCAAATGAGCACTCGCTGTGTAAATCCAGCATGCAGAGCAGTTTCTGACAGTCCTTTGTACTCAGTGTAATTCTTGTAGCTTATTGTGTAACTATTACTCTCATTTCTATTTTTTTTTTAAAGGCTAGAGCATCTGCTGAACAATGCAAAGAAGCATAAGGACACATAAAGCAAAGCATTGCTGGGAGGAAGGGAATGAGATAATAACACTCTC